CAAGTGGATGGAACCCAATCGAACCTCAACGAGGTTGCCAACGACCGGGCACGAGGACTGACATGCCGTGCCAGTCATACTCGAGGTGACGTCCGTGACCATTCAAGGGATGCATAAGACGCACTAATGTCATACAGCATAATTATCAAGCACTACTACACGTAGTGCAGGCATTTTCTGTTGCCACACCTTCACTTGAATAGACCTGTCCACGTCTGCGGTTACTGCGGACAGGTACCTTTCTGACACAACACAACATGAGTAGAATCTATGCGGAGTTGGAAATAAATACAGTGTGCAATGCGTGCATAGGTTGGAAAAAATTATGGAACTCACTCAGACTCGCTAATGAAATACATTTCGTGCTTAGGACTCACTCAAACTCAGACTCATTGAAATGTTCCTGAGCTGGACTCGCTTGGACTCGCGCTCATGAAAATTTTCTTCATGGTGTAAATGCTTTTTAACACCAACATCTCATGTAATCGGTGCTCTTCTTGACGTGCCTTTTGATAGTGTACCTTCAAATACGAGTTACGAGTGGCTGCAAACCAGCAAGGACATTTTCTTGGAAGAGATATAACAACATGAGATATATGTTCAAGAACTTCCCTGGAAATGCTGGTTGAAGGAGAGTACAAGGCACGCCCCTACGTAATTCACGCTTGTAAACAATAAATATTGAAATGGGGTATGAGCACTACTGTTTTGAGATACTTTTGAGTAGACGTGACCAGACTCGCTCAGATTCAATCTCGCCAAAATATTACTCACCTGGACTCACTCATACTCACGGCTCGATCCGAGTCTCCGTGAGTTCGAGTGAGTTGACTTGTGAGACAGTTCCCCGACCTGTGGATGCATGTAATGGCATCACGGAAATCATGCACGTGATGGCGGCATGTCCCGCCACTCTTGTCGATCCCGACAGGGAATGGGAATACAGTCAACTGCCGATTTTCCGGACCCTCTAGGGAGCGAAAAACCGTCGGAAAATTCGGGCAGTCCGAAAAAATGAATGCAAGAAAAAAAAAACGCATTATTTGACTGATAATTTTTAATTCAAGAAAAAAAAAAAGCACACACACACACACATGCAAGCAAAAAACGCACCATTTCATTGATATTTCTCGGATCAAGAGGGTCATGGTCGAAGTACCAGACTTCCGGAACTCTGCCAAAGCATCAGTGGAAGAACTCTGAAAAGAGCCGTTAAAAAAAAATGCATGCAGCCGACAGCGGGTGCCATCAGGGCAGCCAGTGTTAGAGCTGCAGTGGCTTGAAAAACTTGTTGATCCTTGTTTGAACGGCGTTCTGCTTGCATGTGATCACATTCGCCTCGATCTGAGCAAGGGTCATGTCATCACTGTACACCGATAACAGCGTCATCAATGCTCTCATTAATTCGGCGGTCGTAGGTAGCGCAGGCATTGGTTCCTCTTTTTCAACATCGGAGTCGCCTGAATCGGCCATAACCTGATTGACTATTTCGTCGTCGGTTAGCTCTGCGCAGAAGTCGAGCTCGTTGTCAGCATCGACAAACGTCAGCCTACGATCGGCCACTCTTCACTAACTTAATAACGGCGGCTTTTTTCTTCATCGTTAACCGACGATACTGTTTTCCGCGCTTCGATGCTATCGGCGAGGACGACGAAGGCGGAGTTGGGGCCATTGCAGGCAAGCGAAATCCTCAGGATGTGAACAAAGGAGTTAGCTAACGAGCCTCGAAGCACCTAGGCTTGTAGCACACTTACACGAACACGATCGCACAACCCCGCACTAGGCTAGCCAAACATGTTGGCTGCGTAAACAAAACGGCGCGACGGCAGGCGACGGTTCCTTGGGTACTCCGGACATGGCGCTGGTAAATATTCAAGATGGCCAGAGTGGCCAGACCAACATGGTGGGTGACGGTTAGTTCTAGTTTGAAGTGGTGAAACGCTTCGCGAAAGGTGCTGCGCGGGAAGCCAGAGTGGCACGCACGAGCACAAGCGCTAAAGCGAAAGGAACATTATTGCCGCCAAAAAATTTCCGGGTGGATAGTTTCGATTGTCAGTGAAGCACTCTCGCACGATAAACACGGCCAGTGTTAGAAATCTCGAAGGCTGTGTATGTTTCTCTGCTAACGGATCAATGAGTCCAAGCAACAGATGCCTGCCACAGTAGACCGGCGCGCTCATATATGCGATCGTAATTGCGTGTGAGGCAGTTGTGGTGGTTTTCACAGGAGGTCAGTGGTGGTTTCCGACCTCCCGTCGCGTCAAAAAGTCCGGAAAATTGGACTCCGGGTGGTTCGAGCGTCCGAAATTTCAGACTTCCTTATACATTGATTCTATGGGGCTCGTGGCGGTGCCTGCGAAGATGTCCAAATTATCGGGCATGTCCGAAAAATTGGCAGTTGGCTGTAGTGGATGCGGCTCGTCAAAAGCAAAGAACTCTAAAGCAATTAAGGATGGTTCACAGGATAAGTAATCTGCACGCATTCCCAAACAGCTATTCTAAATGCTACGCCATTGTAAGTTCTAGATGATCTACCAACAGGCCCAAATCCTGGTGTCATCTTTTACAGATTTTATCTCGTCATTTTGAAACCTGCTTAAACTGGGATAAAAATTTCATTTTCATTGTACGATAATGCTTATTCGACGCACTCACTGTCTTTTGCGAGCGCTGCTGAGGCAGACGCTGCTTCCAAGTTCATGATCCAAGCAAAAAGTGTTAAAATGTGTCGGTGCAAGCCAGGACCTTCATGAGGAGTCGAATTGGCTTGAGTCGAATCAACAAAGCCTCCTCGATAGCAATGCCAGCTATTTCTATAAATATGTCATCTCCAGCCCTCACAGATGTTTGTTGTGCTTCAATTCTGTCGGCAAGTGCCACGAGGAGGGTCTGAAGCCCCTCACCTTTACTTATGACATCTGCGCACACAAGTGCTCTCTAGACTGTGGATCTGACCAGTCATCTGGTGTCACTAATGTGGCGTTGCCATTTGTTCCACTTGTCCCTTCCAGTGTCATTCCCCACCTTTCTGCGATGCGCGTCGTGCGGATGTGTAGCTAAAAATAATTTTTGGCAGCAGTGTGTGTTGTCTTTCTTTTCGTGCTGTGATGCGCTCTTAATAACATCCAGCTTCTGACAAGTTGAAACTCCGAGTGCCTTGGCACAAACCAGCACACGGTCAGGGACGTGAGACAAAGTGTTGTGCAATCATTGACATCGTCCTCCCTGCAATGCCTCGGGCCTCGCGAGACCTCTGGAAATGTCTGCGCAGTTCTTGGTTTTCGCAAACAGGCTAAAAGTGTGATGGATAACAGTCATGTAGGTGTTTGCTAATGATGATGCTACCAAATGAATGACGACCGATACATATTGTAATGGGAAGAATGGGTGTAAGGCATGATATATACGCAATGTATGTACAGCACTTGGAGGCAGACGTATAAGATAGGGTATAGTCTGCACGAGAGATCACTAAGCATTGTCTTCTTTCATAATGTGTTCATTGCTGGTACCTTGTAGCAATATTTTTATATACGTAAAATGATGCATAATATATGTGAAAGGATGTGAATCGGTTTGAAAATGGGCACCTGGCATAACTGGCATTATAATGTGATGTCGTTGCTCATAAATGTAACAAGAGCAGGGATAAACTTCTATATATAAATGTAGCAAGAGCAGGGATAAACTTCTGATTCAACTCACTGCTGGCTGTGATGATTGCATCACTGGAACAATCCTGTGTTAGAAGACACATCATTGGTGCCTTAACCAAAACTTGTTCTTAGAAGAGAGAGAATAAACTAAACTTTTACTCTGATCAAGCGCAGTGTACAACCTAAGCGGGCAGCCTCCCTATTCTAGATAACCAGCGGCCATAGCCATCTCTCACACCCATTCTATGAGGCTGCACTTGTTCTTCAAGTCGGGGTCTGGTGGCTTGGTCTTCCACTGTTCTTCATTTATTGTTCGGGTGCTTATTTATGGTGCCAGATTTTTGCACGTATCCCCCATACCGTATGGTCTAAATGTCAAGGACATATCATTACATGCAGATGCATGAGTGTTCATTTGTGAAAATTTGGTACAGTAAGATGCTGTGAATGCGAGTATTTGTTTCTGATTTTGTATCTGGTAGTACTTCCTCTTCCCTACTTATGTGTGTGTGTGGGGGGGGGTAGGGTGACTGTAGAGTTGAAAAACTTCGGGTTTTTTTTGCCGCAGATTATACAAAAGTATGGTGCTGTGTAGCATGTTAAAACATTGAAAACATACGAAATGTAAGTCATTGACTCGAAATATCCCTGTGTCGCAAAGAATCGCATATCTTCAATATAATGTTTTCTGACATGATTGTGTTGCCTTGACAAGCATTGTGTACATTATCAGTTCTGCTTCGTACATTGGACACTTTGAACTGCCATTAATCTACTGTTTCTTTTCTCCTCTGCACTTACCACTTGTGCAGTTGTGCAGACATAAGCGTTTTTCTAAGCTGATTGATGTAAGAGAGACATGCAAGCATCATCTGAAGTGAGCCGCTTAAATGAATGGTATTTGGGTTGCGCAGAACATTATTGGAAGCATTTTTTCGAAAGTCACTCTCGGAATGATAAGTGGTGTGGTCATTCCTAAAGTTGTAATCGCAGGGGTGTTTCAAGTCATGATGCTTGGATTAGTGTAAAGCCTTGGAAGCTAATGACTGGAGGCTTGTGTTGGGTATAACAGCTTCCGGTCTTCTTAGCTACTCAAAAAAAGGACGCTGACAATCGTGTGACCAATGAAGTAAAAAAAAAGAAAATTGTTCCATAGGATGTCATTCTTTAGTAATAATGATTTGTGTTTGATGCATGTCAACAAGCATGTCATAAGAAAAGTGTTTGGTGTGTGAATGAGTGAGTACTTGTGTGCCCATGTAATATTTTTAAAAAGGTACCAGGCATGTCTTGTTCCCACTTATCTGGTTCTCTGTCTTTCTTCTTTTCTTTCCGACTTTGCAGTGACTGAGGTTACCACCACTCGCGAGGTCTCTCATATGCCGAACGGGAGGTCCCTCTCGCCGTCGTCGCCAGTTCGGTACCGGCCGCCCTCGTCGCCACGTTCTTACGAGATGGAACCTGCAATGGAGAACCTCCTCGATGACCTCCAGAATGCTGTTCCACAGCCAAGTCGAGGAATGTGAGTTGAAAGCATCATATCTGCCTCAATATTCGTCGTTCAAAAGAAAGATGTCTAGTATATTCAGATATTCGGCACAAGTTCCAGATGACTCATGTGATCATTTAAGGAGCTCGGCAACACCTTTCCAAGTAACCACTTCGCTTCATTAAAAAAGTTTATTGCCTAATAAATTGATCGTTGCAAAAATTTTTTTAATCTTTCAAGTAAAACATGAGTTACAGGAAGTTATCACATGCTTCAACTAGTTTCTCGTTTCGTACCTATGAGCATGCAGGCGGGAAGGGGCACGACAAGGGGGCAAGAAGCTATATCTGTTCATCAGCGCACACCATGACCTTGGGCACTTTGCTTTTTTGTTTTCAGTTAAACATGCAGCTCACTTTCAGTGTGATTGCACTTGCACAGGCAAGCACAATGCAGTGTCCTGAGGTGGTCACGGTAACTGTGTAGCTCACGATGCTCAAACCAACCCATGGCTGTGGGTTTTGTATTTATGGAGTGGTCATTTGGTGTCATGGCATCATTAGTCAAGAGAGGAGCGAGGGGTTTCTAGCTGGCTCAGAATTCATTATTATTTTCATACCATCCGCTGCTCTATAATGTGTGGCTCGCATGTTCTCAGGAGCCTTGCTACTGATCAATAGCATTTTTTGACCATGCTGAAAAAGTGTTGCAGTGCCCATTTAAAGGGCCCATCACCAGGCCCCATAACAAGTTTTAGTCAGACAGTGGCAGATGTGTGTTCGATAAAGGGCATTGTGCCACAAAACTTTTTTCAATCGGTTCATAACAAGCTCAGAAAACCAGCATTTTGAAGTGGTGCGAAACCGTAGTGCAAGGAGGCGAGCTCGAAACCTTGCAACTCATCCGCGCGTCACCTTTGCAAGCCAAATCTATTCCCTACCCTCTCCGTCATTCGAGCGAGAGGAACGCGTCATGTGTATGTCAGGGCACATGCACATTACGAGGCTCAAGCAAGTCCAAGATGCCCAAGCCCCCAAACATATGTGCGGCGTTGTTTTGCTGACAAGCGTTATTTTGTGGCTTTCTGCCTCGGCCATCATTAGGCTTGCAACCTATTATCGAGCACGAAAACTGCAACATTTAATTGACATGAGAGCAGTGGTATCCTGAGCCAGTGCCGCATTAGCATTTACTTGGATGTGGTAGCATAAATGAGCTTAACGAGTGCTCGAATGTGCCAGAACATTACTTTCTTTTCTAGGGTGGGCATGTGCTCGATGCGTTAACCGTGGGCACACGAACTCCTGAGAAACAGAGGCACACTAGCTCCGCATATTGCTGCAATTCATGAGAACAAAATGAAATAGACAGACATATTTCCTTTGTGCATCTCATTATTTCTGTCAAGCTTTATAAGTAACAAACTGTACAAACTACACATGTCGTTTTGAATAATTTCACCATGTCACGAGCTACTGTTGCCTATGTCAGAGCACAGTCATAGAGGATGGATGTAACCTCACTACCGTCCACTGTAGGACAATTCCATCATGTATGTCCTCGCCTTTTTATCTGGGGGTGACCATGCGAGAAGGGCAAGCGGCGTTCAACTTGAAATTTTAACCCATTTTCATGGCGTTTGGTGGTGTGAGTTTTGGCGGATGTGATTGTGAACTCACCCAGTGCATGCATTGCGCTGGTAAGCTCGAAGGTGTCACCTTTTGAGGGGCCCTTTGAAAGAGTACTAAACACAAAAATTTTACATATTTTTCCTCTTGCAGCTAGCAGCTAAGGATCCACCTTTCACTGCTAGAAACATTGTTTGCTCAAGTAATGGTTTGTGCTATAGTTAATTATTCGGGGACATTTTTATAGGGCCCAGGCGCAGCTTTCATTTCAAAGACCGCTGAAGGTTGCACAACCCAGCGAGTTTGGTTGGTAGACACTGCTAGCCGTACGCGCACACAAAACAGCGACAGACTTGCATTGCGCATCACTCAAGGAATCGCCTGAGCACTACATTGACAACTACAAGGCAGAGTGCACCCAGGGAGCATGGCAGCAAATGCGAACTTGTTACAAAGCTGGTTGTTAGTTATGTAAACACCGAACCAAGTTGATTGTTATGTCGCAAGGTGCTCAGTTTTTCATGCAGTTGCATGGCACACACTTTAAAACTTTCCAAGTTGTCTTATAGCCTTCAAAATTGTGTCAGTACTCTATCAAAAAATTAGCTTCATTGGGCTCTACTGCCCTTATTTGGGGTTAGTGCTTGGAAGTTGGAATTCATTTGCCAACGCCCTGGCCATGTACATGTCCTGGCCAAACCTTGTGCGGCATGTCCATTGCCAGTAGTGTCAAATTTTATAAAACCTTTGGTGCAAACTTATTTTCTACAAGGTTATGAAGAATTCTCGGTCTAGTATCACCCACAGTAAATAAATATTTAGTCAAAGTTCAGTCAATGTCTAGGGCTATTACAGGAGTTGTGACGACAGGCAGTGGGTGAAAGTGTCATGGTGTTAAACTAGGGTCTCTTGAAAACAAGTCCTTGCAGAATCATAGTGCACGTAAGCGAGTATCTGTGCCTTTCAGCAAGTGTTCTCAGCCGAGAGCGTCAAGGCGCCTAAAGGAATTGATGCCGTAGTGAAGTGCTCTGTTAAGATTGCCCTTCTCTCCTCTCGATATCGCTTCTTCTTTGTAGTGGCTCTAGGGTGGAGCTGGCATACTGCTTTAGGTGTACTCCATAATCACTCCGTTTTCTTAATGAAAGATTTGTGGCGTAGAGCAGGGAAAAGAACAAGAAAGAAGGCAGGATAGGGCACCTATAGAATTATGCGTTGGAGCTACACATGACGTAAACTTTCTGGCTGCAACAAATATGTGTTTCATGCACACTTGAAAGCACTCAACCACATTTACAGCCATGCTGCTTCAACAAAGACCTCTTTACAACGGCTCTACAGCTTGCAGAGTGTTGGAACAAAGGCAGGCCCAGCCCACTGTAACGTTTGGTGTAGACAGAGAGAAAGAGAGAGAGTGAGAGAGAAAAAAAGAAACGCCGGGAGGTTAACCAGATATCGGCATCTGGTTTGCTACCCAGCACAGAGGTGGGGAAATAGGGTCAAGAAAGAGGGGGTCGATAAAGAGAGAGAGAAAAAAAAAATCACTTGCACTCATGAGAAAACTAAAACACGCATAGGAAGGGCGTTCTGGCTACAACCGTTCAGAAAGGCCGGTCGATCGCAAAAAGTGCAGTAGCGCTTTCAGGGCCTTCTTTTGTGAAGGTACATCTTGTCGATATTGATACATAACAGAATTCTTTCCTCGGACAGAGGTTGATTATCTAATTTGCTGAGTTCCTTGCGAAGGCATAGTCATTGTCTACTATACTCTAGGCAGTCACAAAGGATAAGTTAGATGGTTTCTTCTTTGCCACAGTGGCCACAGGCTGCGGTGTCGGTCATCTCAATGCGGAATGCGTAGGTGTTGGTAAGCGCAATGCCCAACCACAGCCTACATAAAAGGGTCTGGTCTGCTTGGCAAAGCCCCGACAGGACTTGAAGACTTAACGTAGGGTCAAGCGAGTACAGTCAGGCATGCTTGAAGTGTGGCTGATTCCATTGTGATTCCATTATGTTGCCTCTAACAGTGTTTTACTGCAATTTGCCCTTAACAGGAGGTCCCGATACAGTCTTTGACTTTGGGACCTCTTTTTGTATACTAAACACATGTCACATTCTTGTATTCGTACCAATAAAAAATCTGAAATCTGATGTGGTTTGCTGGCGAGCAAGCCAGCGGAGCTTTCGTGCAGCATCTGTCCTAGACAGTCGTAGTAGTAGTTCATGATCTTCTGCGTGGGCTGAGCAGACAGCTTGATCGGCCCATTCATTGCCGATGATTCTCAGTCAGGTGGTGTATAACCTCTGCTATCTCCAGTACCAGCTGTTCGTGCGGTCCACAGCGTAAGGCTGATAGTAGAGACTGCACTGCCGCCTTCGAGTCGCAGAAAATAGTCAACTTGCGTGTAGGTTGATCGATGAGAAATTGCAGCAACGCGGCACGAACTGCTGCCAATTCTGCAGCCGTAGATGTTGCGTGGGATGTTTTGAATTTAATCATCGTGAGCAGCCTTGGTATCACGTTTGGTGTAAGCCGAACTATCACGCCCATTCTGCTTTCATAGCTCGCCATGAAAACTTTGGGTCATGCCCAATGTAGAATGGAGACCAAGTGCTATGTTCATCAAACCCGTTTGAATCATTTACTTAACTATGATGTGTGGAGGGTGTAATAAAATGTAATTGCCAGCCTGCATGCTCTGCCCCTCCCCCACCTATTCTTTTTCTTTCTTTTTTAAAAGGAAACGAGGCATTAATTCAAGCATCTTACTCTCAGCAGATATGCGTGCCCCTAAGTGCCTTGAACACTGCCTTCACTGGCTTGTCACCGTCAAGATCTGTGAAGCTATGATTAGCAACTGCTGGAAAAGATTCTACTCATTTCTTACATAGAGTACATTATGTCTAGGATACTGTTATATGGAAGTTCATTGCATGAAGATTTATCAGCACTTCAAAACTTTGCAGCAGCTTCTTGAAATGGATACATTTTTCTGCTTGCGAATTATTTATGTGTCATACTAAAATATTGGCAGCGAAAACAAACTGGATGCAAAAAGAGGAGACAAACAGCTGCACTTGTTTGTCTCCTCCTTTTGTGTCTTGTTTGTTTGCACTGCCAATATTTCAGTAGGAATCGATACCAACTGGCCCGCTTTTCAGCCCTTCTGTTATGTATGTTTGTTTTGCCATGTGATGTTATAATGAATATTCTATATAATCACCACATTTTTAGAGTTCTATTCATTCATACATTCTTGGAGTTGTTGTTTAGCTTAGTTTCTGTAGTATAATGAATATTCCATATTATGAATGCATTTTTTTTTAGAATGAATAGTTACCTTAGGCTATGTTTTGCTTTCTTCTTGCATGTTAAATGCAGCAGTGCAAAGTACTGGATGTGTTTCT